TACTTGCTTAACTTTTGACTTAGCTTAGATCCTCCCCCAACCGCGAGCATGGCCTTTTCCACTAACTAGGTGAAGCGAAAAATGTGCTACTTCGACAGTGAGGCCACTTGCACTTGACAGGTAACGTGGTTAGATTCTTACCAGGAGAGACTATCATTCCTGATTCTCAAGGTGTCGGAAGACGTGCAATTGATGAGATGAACAGTAACCCACTGTGCATGGGCTTTGTACCGATGCCATTTTCTTTAGAGCAGGTGAGAAGATACTGGAGAATTTAAGATATAGAACTGTAACTAAGAATGACGGGCTTATATGCTTGGCCAATTGAGGGATTCAATAATGTTGTTTGCTGGGTCGTTCATGTGGTTTTATATCTGGAAAGCTCTCTGGGTCAGTGTGTGTCCATACGACGCTTTCATTACTCTAAGTGATCTATGAGATAATCAGCAAGATATTGTAGAATGGGCGTCTTCGACTGAATTACGTATGCATAATGCCTCACTTTGTGGGCCATGACGTTCAGCACAACAACAGAGCACATACTGCTTGCATTTTCCAATCACACCAGCCCCCTTACCCTGAGCTGCGTGCACCGAAAAGAATCAAGCAAAGCCAGATCGAGACCCATGATGTTGTCACTGCGTTGTGGCTATGATATTGCAGAACCGTCCGTCTGTAACTGACCCCGCAGACTGGCTAAAGAGGGTGCCCAGAACAAAAAGTATGTGTAGACCAGAAATCTGGGGTTGAGTGGGCCTGGATGAACCTGGGCCATCGACAAAAGGAGGTTCTGGACCCTCGCAACTTCCTCAAGACCAGCATACGTTTGCCCTTTACCACATGTAGTATGCCGATATCTGTATTCGGACCAGCCTATAACTAGCAAAAGTTTCAAACCAAAGGCACGCGGGCCGGACCCGGTTATCTGTGGGTCTTTCCCCGCTCTCGTCAGTCATCGGCATCCCCGCGGCCACAGCTTGAAATAAAAGCCCCTTTCATGACTGATTACACACTAACGGTACAATTGAAGACCCTAAATTTCTCCAGTAAAAACAAAATACAGAGTATAATCAGAAATAATACTGCTTAATACAGATATGCTTTTTCGTAATCTCTTTCAAAAATTAGAATCATCCTAAAATTAGAGACTTAGGCTGGTTAATAAAATAATCAGGCTAAATGGCGTTTTTGCTTACTGCCTTTGAATTTTAATTGAGTTTTGGTCTTTCCCATGGAAATCTGCATTGCGATGAGCTAACGCTTTCTGTTGAACTGTATGTCTGCTTGGTTTAGACTGTAACAGAAAAACATACCCTGCACATAGCATTAGCTGCCTTGTTGTGGTGAGTCATATTCACTATCAAATGAGATTTGCCACGTCATTAATATGCTCCGATTGCATGCCCGTGTCTTAACAGAGAGTGCTAGCTTATTGTGTAGACATGGTCATCGGTATAGGTAATTATTTTGAATCGATGCATGCATGGACTAGTGTGGCGGGAACGGATTTCTCAGAAATGCCCGCCGGGCAAGAAAGGGTCTGGTCGATTGGTGTTTTGCTATACCAGATTTAGGTAGCAAATATTACCTCTTGGAATGCCGTAAGGGGTCTCCTTGTGTGAGGTTACATGTTGCCTTCCAGGGTTGCTATGCAGTGTTTTATTTACTTGAATTAATAGTGGTCATTCTGAAGTCATAGACATAGTAGTCCCTCACATGCTCTCTTAAAGAGAAGAGCAGTAACTGTTTTCAGCCTGTATTTAATCCTTGGTAGCCATGTAAGGCTACTGAGGTTCTGTGCTTTTGTGTAACCTTATAGTTATTCCTTGTCTCAAATATAAGCATGCCCAGTTGGATGCGGATGTCTGTCCTACTGAACGCGACCTTATGAGGTACTACGGAGATTTTGCAATGATGTTTGAAGATGGGGCCTGGTTATGAACTTTTCGAGCACTGGTGGAGTGGGATGGAAGGCTATGCTGACTATTGCCGATTCCAAGGAGATTTGTTCACTGAGAAAGATGGCAAGTACCTGGACGCGCTGTACATCTCTAAAGCGGTCGTCACTAGTGGGTGGTAGTCAATAGCCTTGCCATCCAGTTGTCAAGGATATAATAATCAACCTTCACTCAATGTTTTAGAGGGAAAAGAAGTAATTATTTCTTCCCAGTTGATCATCGTATGCTGGTAGGGACTTGGAAAGCCAGGAGGAGAGAACACAGGCGGGCGGTGAAAGAAAACCAACCCAACGCAACCAACCAATCAGATTGGTGGCCAAGAAAAGCAGGTGTCTTCGGTTGCCCACTAAATAAAGCTCTATGCGATGTATAAGGTCTTACGCATGGCAGCTTTAAAGTCTTCTTCTGGGTTTACATCTAGACTAGAGTTAACTCTCATTTGAGAAATCTCACATGCGGCTCGGAATTGCATACTGTGTCATTCTCTTCTTGCCGCATGAAACCATGAGCCCTAAGCCGCAACACATAAGTTACGCTAGAATATTTTGACTTCTTTACACAGTATGTAGCCTAATGTGAGTTTAATTAATGCAGATGCCTTCTATGCAGTCGCAGTATGTTTGTGCAACATATATGGTCATTGCACAGGTAAACAATATTTTATATCACATTGTACTCGTACGACCCTTGCTTGCAGGTTACCTATGGCACTTCCTGGTCGGTAGATAGTCATCATCCATTCCCAAACAGATTTTGTAATGCTGGGATAGACGAATTTATCTCTGGAGACCGAACGCCAGTTATTGGCAATAAACATTTGAAAATAAGAATAAAAACGTGTATATGGTTATATCAATACTGCAATGAGCCTGTTTATACAGGTGTTTTGCCAAAGCCAAGGTTAACTTCTGTGATAGGTCACACTAGAGGGCTCTACCGTCAAGGAATTCCTTATGTATTGACGGACTATCAACAGGCCAACAGTCTTCATCAGTCTTTCAATAAAACCCCCATTGTAGACCTACGAGCTTCATATCCTCTAAGAGCGTCTTCGCAATATTTCAAGAGTAGTTCATGACAAAACAATACTACCTTGAAGTTACCCATACCTGATTTTACGTACCTAACTCTGCAGTAGAAGACCTGTAATCAAAATTAGATTCATTCATCTCTGGGAAAGCCGGTTGGGAGGATGATATCATGACAGGACATAGAAGTTTCCTGAAAGTGATGGTTAGAGATCTAGATTCAGTCTAAATTATTCCACTCCCATGCATCACTACTGCATGCGGAAATTAGATACAAGGTGGGTATGATTATAGAGATGCCGACAGATTCACAAGGCAAACTGGGTATGAGGTCGCAATTCAAGCATGATGCAACAGTGATTGGCATTGGCCATAGGGACAATTACACTTGTAACCATCATACATCACCAGTATTAAGCCAGATATTTACTCCTTCACATTTAAGAATGGTGAGAACACATAAAGATGGCAGTTTGCTCCTTAGATCTTCCATAAAGCCCATTAATCTTTTCCTCTGTGAAATCTCAGCTTCTATTTACCAAGTAAGGTCCACTTGACCTTGGCTAACTATGAGGGTTGTAAACTAGGAGGACCTGAAGTTGCTAAATGTTATTTTTATGTTTAGGTTTTAACTTCTACCTACTACCAGTGATAAAGGTGAGTAGCCTTGCTGTAAAACCTACTTACTTATAAAGTAGTCTAAGTACTCACCTACATGTTTAAAATAGTCACTATGTGACCTGGCACCATGATTCCTGGCAGCTCTGGTTGTGCAACTGGCGGTGGAGAAGCGATGTCCAAGTAAAGGGAGCAGGACTTGGTGTAAGCGGTGATATTAAATGTCAGGTGAATTTTAACAACGGGAGTATTGTGTTTGGCCTCAGAACAGGTCTTTTTTCCCTGTACATAAAGTGACAATGCTACCAGGTTTCCCTCTTCTATAAGTGCAGATGCAGAGGCTGGTTTTATTAGCAGTAGTGCATTCATTTAACAAAGCGCCAAGTGTTCTGTAAGCTGAGCTTTGATGTTAAGTTAGGCATGTATCCTGGGCCTCGAGGCATAGAATGAGAATGCTCAAAATTATTAGACCACTAGCCAAGGGTATTCAGACAGAATGTTGGGCTGGTGTATACAGCACAAAAGCAAACTACACTAGATACAAGACCACAGTGGATTAATGGCTGGATATGACAAACCCACAGCGAGCAGAGCTTGGATGAAACTAGCATACCGCCAGGGCACAGCCTAGCTTTGTGGCTCATTTTTTAGGACCTTACTGTGCAGAGAGGTATTTATGCCTAGCTGTATGGGGCTAAAATCTGATGCTTGTATCATAGTCATATTTTGTTAGACCTTCACACAATGGGCGGGTTTATTAAAACCACGTCAGAAAGCCCACAATATGTCACTTTCTTATTGGTTAGAGAATGAGATAGACGTGGCAGGCTTGAGCACCAAGGCCAAAATCTTGCATGCAATATACCTATTACAGCACCAACACCACAAGGAGGAAATGACGGACAGAAGTACGACGCAGTGATGACCAATCATTCCTTAACGAGTTAACGCAATCCATAAGTGAGTGGCATTTCCCACCGAGCGGCCACCTCATGTATTGCATATAAAATGGGTCAAAGGTCGACTGGATTCAATCATGTGTCCCAGGCAGCGTCATCGTCACTTACACCAAATAAGAAGTACTCGTACTCTAGTCCTGAAAACACTACAAGGGACCTTAAAAACAATTTCCCAGCGAGACTGGTCTATGGACTATTGATATGAAAAATGGCCAAGGCATATGACAATCAACCCTCCATCCAATATGTAATATTGTTGAGACTAGAACTAAATGGTCCAAAGATCCATGCAAAACCCCTGCATTCGCATTAGGTATAGGGAAAACCCGCTAAAGTTTCGGGAAAAAAAAACCTATACCAGGGCTGTATGAAGAGTATGGCAAACAAACAGAAAAAAAAAAAAGACAAAGGTTCTCAAAAGACCATTCCTGACGCATTCATTCATTTGCGCGAATAGGGCCTTTGTATTGCAGAGTACCATCAATAAGGTCAAAATAGGGGTACAAGAAAATACCCTGGGGCGGTTCTCGGTATTCGCCGTTATTCATTAGCAATTCCGCTTTAAGTTTAAGCTCTTCGTGAAATGGAGACCCCGTATATTCGCGATCAATCTTTTCGTTTTTTGACTTCTTGGAATAACCAGGGTGCTTATCGTCAAACCAGCCTTATCACACCTAGTCAGCGAAATCAGGACTGATGTCGGGGTCAATAAACGTTACCATCCCAGTCACCAAAGTAAGGATCTAGATCTATTTCTTGCTCTTCTGTCCAAGTCCCGTCGGCTCTTCTTGCCTTGTAGCAAAGCAGACTTTTGTTGAGGTGCTCGTCCTTGATATCATCGGTTATAGTCATGGTGATTGATTGATAGTAATACGACTGTATCACCCACAAAATATGCAGTAGGATAGACGTGGAGTGCAAATGAATATCATGAGTTAATTTTCTTATATATTTACATCTATGTTACTACCACGTCATTTCGTGGGAATCATCTACAATCTATGACCGCTACTCCTGGGCTTGATAATCTCCTGGGGCTTAGATCTATAATATTACTGCAAACAGACACTCATTCGCTTCCTGTACCATGGACACTAAAAATACTGCCCAAGAATCTTTGACATTTGATGTGTCACTTAGCAACTACCGCTTTAGGTCTGTCATCGGTTTACCAGTCTTCCCGGGGGACAATAGAGATCCAGGCGCATATTGGAGCAGGTTAGTGAGACCTGTGTTATACTTCATATGGAAATAAGATGGTAACATCATGGGTGCAGGCCATGATAAGCTGTTTGGTCACTGCCCAAAGCAAAGCAAGGGAATCAAAGTTCACCGTAATATCATTCCTTTCACTTTGAAGGACTGACAAGACCATTAATACGTACTGTTTTGGTAATAGGACAGCAATGCCACAATCAATACAGTGAGCTGTTGCCGTTTCCAGATCAGGGCAATTGACGTGGCATCAGCAATTATTTCCAACTTGTACATTGATGTATTTGCCAAGCACTGAATGAAGCCAAATGATGCATGCACTAGTGGCAAACAGAGATGTAGCATAATAGGATGGATTTCACCAGGGAAGTCATGAACAAATCGACTTCATGGTTTGACAACATGGTGATGTTGGGAAGGGTCTCATCAGCAATGGTCTAGCTTGTGCTTCATCTCAAAATACGTCGTTTGCTATGGTTCTGGACTAGCGTCCGTGGAAGAGTTTTACTGAAATACAGTGTAATTAAAGGAATGTGACGTCAAGTATATGGAAACTAAGATGAAGAATAAATAATCTGTGCTGGAAACAGCTTGAAGTGGTATCATCACTGGGCTTGGGTTCGGCCTGTGTGTTTAATTCCGTAGATGTGTGCCCAAGGGAACTAACAAAGTCTTCTTGTACTTGTTATAAATACAGAGTTGTCATTTATTACAGTTTAATACATTCTCTGTCGCTTAAACTCTTTGCCAGATGATCAGAGATTGTTTGACTTTTTTATTGTAGTTACACAAGTTATCTAACAAATTGTCCAGCAAAGATAAGTCGCAAAAACAACATTCAAGTATTGCTGCTGGGAAAGCGGGCTTAAGTATCCGAGCCTCAGGCAATGTGTCCGCGCCTGTAAAAAATTCTACGAAAACGGGAAAAGCATCTTTATATGACGTTCTTGAACCCCTTTTGACCAGTGTAGAAGAAGACTGATCTAACTATATGTAGTATACTAAGCATTACGGCTGTCATAATTGCATAATTGCCTGCCAACAGAGTTGATAGAGCATGAAATGAGGGCAATGGGCGAAAACTAGGACGTCAGAAATTAGAAAGTATACTACCTCAATTTGTATAATAGTCTGGGCTATGTTTCAACTGAAGGAGTGACCGAGTTCAGCAGATTCGGTCTACGCCGAGGTCTAGACATGGTCCTGCAGTTACATATAGTTCTCTGCATTCCTTGGACTGTATTTTGTTGCATGGTAGAACAGTATGGTATAGCATTTATTTATTTTATCTATCATATTTTTCCTTTATGTAGTATAGGAGACATTCTGGGCAGGTTAGATAAGCCTAATGATCAGGTATTTGGATATTAAGGATGTTGCCGCAGCCTATCCCAGAGAGAACCAGCGGCTAGTAACAACCCTGTTCTGCTAGCAGCCATTAAACCTGCTCAAAGCTCTGTTTTTCCTATAGGTAAACTTTTTGCCCGACATTTGCTCAAGAATATCTCTCTTTCTCTCCACTGCGCAAGTGCGTAGGCGCTCAAAGCTAAGAACTAGGGATCTTACATCCACTATTTCTTATGAATAGTCGCAAATTTCTTGAAATCGTCTTCATTGGGCCAATTTTTATTCCAGGAAACATGTAACTCGCGCCAGGGCATTTGACCCTCCTGATGATGAGCGAAATTTAGTAGGTCCTGTTCTGGGAAGCTGTGATACCAAAGATTGGGCTTTTCCAATAGACACAGATAGTATTGAAAAAGTTCCGTATTTGGCGAGTACAAGAAAACAGCCCCCCCMCCCCCCCCCTTCCCCCCCCCCTCCCCCGCGCCAGGGGGCAAAGCAGACGAGCCAAGCGACTCTGTCAAACCAGCTGACGCAAAGCTCAACATTAAATTTGTGGCAGTCTGTATTAGACCTAGGCAAAACCCAACCCAGAATACCCCCCTTGAGCCCGAAACCCAGCCTAGGTAAAACCTGGAATACCCCCCCTGAGCCTAGACCTAGGCAGGGTTCCGGGTAACCCAACTGAAACATGTGTCAAACCCAACTTGGGCTGGGTTTTAGGCTTAAGGGGGGTGTTCTAAGTTAGGTTCTAGGCTTTTATATAGAACCTAATTAGGTTTTAGGTAACCCAGTTAGGTAGATAAACTAGATAAATATTAAAGATTATATAATATGCATTAATTATATAGTCCTATCTTATATTTATTAGTATTTAAACTATATGTCTAAGTAGGAGAGTAACTATTCTAATTACCCTTTTATTTCATCTCTAACTATTATAGGCTAGAATTCTAGTATAGGGCTGTACTCTAACTATCCTAATAGACTATAAAGGAATAAAGTATAATTACTAAAGAAGGAAGAAGCTAGGTATAGGTAGCTAGTATTATATATAGTGGGCAAAGCCTGCTAAATACTTAAGGTCCTATCTAAGGTAGATACTAGCTTAAAGTCCTGTCTAATGCAGATACTAGCTTAATATCCTATCTAAGGTGGACACTAGCTTAATTATATAGCCCTATACTAATTAATATACTAATTAACTCTTACTATATAACCACAGCTGTATATATAATAAAATAACTAATAATAAAGGAACTGATTATCCTTATGCCTTATATACTTATAATTTCATCTAGAGATATACTATTATATATTAGGTAAAGGAAGAATTACTTTATTATCTAATAGAAATAGTTCCTAGCCCTCTTACTCTTTATTAGATAGTATACTCCTTTATCTCTTATGCTAGGTATACTTAGATAGCTACTAGGTAGCTAGTTAGTCTATACTAATCTCTAGGCTATTATCCTCTTTATTATTACTAATTAGCTTAAGAGTATCTTAAAGCTATTAAGTATCTTTCTTTTTATTAAAGGCTTGCTATTCTTTATTTAAAAAATATTATTTTATAAGAGAAAGCTCCTTCTCTTCTACTTTAAACCTTAATATATATATAAATAGTATTAGATCTTAGGTTATTATAGAATTAAGTAAGCCTTAATAATAATAGTAGATATCTTAAGTAGAATTAAAAAGCTACTTAATACTAGTACTAGTAGTAGATATTAAGAGTATATTATAAGCTATTTTTATAAGAGCTAGAAATTTATATTTATACTTTTTCTAGAATATCTATAAAATAATTAGGGCTGTTTTTATTAAATAATATTAATTAGTAGAGTATTAGCAGGAATAATAATATTACTTACTACTCTTAAAATACTATATAGTCTTATTAGTACTTACTAATTAATTAAAATTAGAAGTAAAAAGAGTATTAATCTTTAATATTTAAATACCTAAAGATAATATCTATAGTAAGCCCTATATAGCTAATAAGTATTCCTTATAGAGACTAGTATAGGTTTTAAAGCTTCTATAATATTAATTATATAATTTAAGACCCTAATCCTTATTATTAAAGAACTAAAGCTTATTTTATAGTATAAGGATTATCCTAATTATAAATAGATTATTATAGATCTTATCTATTTCTCTATAGTAGATAGATAGCTTCTCCTTTACTATATAGAGAGTACTAAGTATAAGCTTCTTCTAAATTACTTTCTTCTATTAAAGCTAATAAATTAATGCTTTAAGATAATTAAAAAATTTATTATAGATACTAAAGATAATATAGATAGTTATATTTTTTATTTAAGAGAGTATAGTAGTAAATTTAAAGAATAGTTAAGTAATCTAAAGAAGATACTTAATCTAATACTATTCTTCTTAGTTAAGTATTAAATAATTATAGCTATTTTATAAGTAGAACTAGTTAAAGATTAGCTATAGTTTCTTTACTCTTTAGAATATTAAGAAGGTAGAATTCTAGTAAGTCTTAATATCTTAAATTAGTATAAGCTTTAATGCTTTAGCCTAGAGATTATAAAAGACTTTATAATATTAAGGACTTATATTAATAAAAATTATAAGTACTCTTATCTAATAAAATTTATAATAATTAATATAATAATCTAAATACTTTATTATAAAGAGACTTACTTTATTAAGGGTATTAGTAATCTCTTACTTTTACTATCTTATTTATAGTAATTATAACTAGGCCTCTAATTAATTAATCTTTATTATCTTATTCTTTAGATTAGCTTTTATCTAACTAAGAAGCTTCTATAAACTTACCTAGATTATATATATAATATAGGGAATATAGATAATTATAGTATTAGTATTAATTTAATTTATCTAGATTAAATCTTATATACTTTCTATTAATATAATATTATTAGATATATTATTTATTATAATAGAAAGTATATAATCTATAATCTTATATTACTAAAGTAGATTAAAAAGAATAGTACTTAGATTAGTATCTAAGTAAGATCTATAAAGTAGTTTAAAACTAAGTAGAATTTCTTAATAATTTTATTTATTATTAATAAAATATCTTATAATTACTATAAAAGCCTATTAGAATAAAGATATCTAGTAATTAAGGGTAATTAATAGCTTTATACTAGATAGAAGCTTATTAAGTATCTTTTATTATTATATCTTTATTATATTCTATAACTACTATTATATAGTTTAGAAGGAAGGAATATTAGGCTATAAAGAAATAAGTTAGATAAATTTAATTAATTCTTAAAATTTAGAGTATTTAA